AGTTCTGCATGCTCTGCTTTGGCGGCCTGGGTTCACAGGTTCAATCCTGGGTGCGGACTTTCTTGACTCACCAACCACACTGTGGAGGTGTCCCAAATAAAAAAAAAATATAGAGGAGGATTAGCACAGATATTAGCTAAAGACAAATCTTCCTCAGCAAAAAAAAAAAAAGTGGGTGGGAGAAAAGTAAAAGTGTAGACTTGTTATATGTAATCAAAATTAAGTTGTTATCACTCAAAATAGGTTGTTATAACTATAATATATTTTGTGTAAGCCTCATGGTAAACAGAAATAAAAAACCTGTAGGAGATAGACAAAATATAAAAAGAAAGGAAGCAAATCATATAACTACAAAAAAGAATCAAATCACAAAGAAAGACAGTAGGATAGGAACAAAGGAACTGCAAAACATCAGACAATGATTAATAAAATGGCAGTAATAAGTTTCCACCTATCAATTATTACTTTAAATATAAATGGACTAAATTTCCCCATCAAAAAATGTAGAATGGTTGAATGGATTAAAAAAAACAAGACCCACCTATGTGCTGACTACAAGAGACTCGCTTTAGCTTTAAGGACACTCATAGGGTAAAAGTTAAGGGTTGAAAAAAGATATTCCATGTGAATGATAACCAAAAAAGAACAAGAGAGGCTATTCTTATATCAGACAAAAGAGATTTTAAGTCAAAAACTGTCAAAAAAGACCAAAAAAAGTCATTATATAATAATAAGGAGATAAATTCATCAAGGGGATATAATAATTATAAATATATATGCACCCAATATTGAAGCCCCTAATATGCAAAAAATAATTAATAGATCTAAAAGGAGAAATAAACATTAATACAATAATAGTAGGAGAATTCAATATCCCACTTTCTACGATGAATAGATAATACAGACAGAAAATCAATATAGAAAGGGCAGAACTGAACATCACTATAGACCAAATGGATCTAACATAGAGAGAACAACCTGTCCAACAACAGAAGAGCACACATTCTTCTCAGCTGAACATAGAACATTCTCCAGGATACAACATATGTTAGGCCACAAAATAAGTTAGCATATTTTAAAAGATTGAAACAGTAAGTATCTTTTCTGACCACAGTGGTATGAAGCTAGAAATCAATAACAGGAGGAAAATTGGAAAATTCACAAATATGTGGAAATTAAACACACTCCTGAACAACAAATGGGTCAAAGAAGTGAAACAATATCTTGACACAAATAAAAATGGAAAAACAACTTACCAAAACATATAGAAAGCATAAAAAGCAGTTTTAAGAGAGAAGTTTATGGTGATAAATGCTTATATTAAGAAAAAAGAAAGATATCAAATAAGTAACCTAACTTTACACCCAAGGAACTAGAAGAAGAAGAAGAAAGGAAGCCCAAAGTTAGCAGAAAGAATGAAATAACAAAGATAAGAACATAAATAAATAAAATAAAGCCTAGAAAAGAACAATAAAACTAACAGCAGCATTTCTGAAAGATAAACAAAATTAACAAACCCATTAGCTAGAAGAAGAAAAAATAAGACTCAAGTGAATGAAATTATAAGTGAAAGAGGGGACATTACAACTGATACTACAGAAATACAAAGGATCATAGGAGACTACTATGAACAACTATATACCAACAGATTGGATTACCTAGAAGAAATGGATAAATTCCTAGAAACATACACCCTACCAAAACTGATTCATGAAGACATGGAAAATCTGAACAGACCAATAACAAGTAAGGAATTGATGCAGAAATCAAAAATCTCCAAAAAAGAAAAACCCAAGACTAGATGGCTTCATTAGTGAATTCTACTGAACACTGAAAAAAGAATTAGTAATGCTGTCCAAACTCTTCCCAAAAATTGAAGAGGAAGGGACACTGCCAAACTCATTTTAAGAGACCACCACTATCCTGGTACCAAAGTCAGACAAAGACACAACAATAAAAGAAAATTATAGACCAATAACCCTGATGAATAAAGATGTGAAAGTCCTCAACAAAATAATGATCAAACAGAATTCAAAAGCTACATACTATTTTTTAAATTCTACATGGCAAAAAGAAGACCACAAATAAAGCCAAAAGAATAACAATGAACTTTTTGAAAAGACACATATATATGACAGTTATATGACAATTTTCTTAACATAGAGAATTTTCTTTAAAATCTATATTTAAAGGACAATAACACCACAGGAAATTGGCAGGTATATGAATGCACAATTTACAGAAAAAATGTAAGTGGCTTTTAAATATATGAAATGAAGCTCCATCTCATTCATAATTAATTATTAAAAATAAAAGAAAGCTTAAATGATAAGCAAAAGTCAAAAACCTTATTAATACACAAGGTTTGGGGAAAACAGGTGTTCTTTCTAATCACCAGTATTGGTGGTATACATTAGTAAAATATGTAGAAGACAATTCGGTTGAACCATATAGAGTACTATGAGTATGTTCCTTTCTTGAATAACATTTTATTTTCCCTGAAGTGAATAATTATTACATTTTTCTATTTTAATATTCTGACTTTTTTATGTACTGTTCATCAATTCATTGATGACTAACTTCCAATTTTCTGCTGGGTTTGGGAAGTAATCATGGCTTGTTATACGGACACTGGTAGAGAACACGGGTGGTCTGTTACTATATATTTTCTCATTCATCCTCCTACTTTCATCCTCCACTCCCCCCCACAAACGTCCTCAAAATACACAAACACAGACACACACAAAGCATCATCTACCTCAATTATTCAAAGGTAATTATTGTTTCTGATGCCTAAACCCTTCCACGGGGGTATAACATACATCGTGGTGCTTCTCACACTAAATCCAAGATTCTTCTTTATTTGCTCTTCTATGAAAGTTTTCATTTCTCCATATACTGCTCACCCTCTAAAATTTTGTTGACATCATTGTCTGCCATCATCTCCTTTTCTGTTCTCTTTGTGAGTTTATGCCCTTTTCAATTTCTTTATTATCTTTTTAATAAGGTTTCAGGGGACACAGGGATGAAAATGTATGCGTAATCTTCCCTTGGCACTGCAAAACTATCTCACTTGAGGCCTTGTTGTAAGAAAGCCAACATACCTGTGTACTGGCCAGGGATAAGATGAGGGGCACCACTCTTGATTTAGACTTGAATCATTTCTTCAATTCTCTTTCTGCCCCTCCACTTCTTTTTGATTATTAGCCTGTACCCAGCATGTGACTTACCAAGGAAGAAACCAGGATAAATGTTGCTTTGCTCTTTTTTCATTTTTCAGTTACATGTGAGATTCTGTTTCTTCTCCTTTCATCTCTTTCCTTCTTTCTCTATGTAGAACTATGGTTTTTGGAGGCTGTATATCTCCTATCATCTCTCCTAGCAGAGCCTGTAAGGAAGACATTCTGCAGATGCCACCTTCTCTGGCACACATTGGCTCTCTAAAAGAACAATAAAACACAGAAACACCCACACGAATGGCCTGGAACAACTTGTGGGGGTGGATTTTGACTGCAAGGATGGGCACAGAGACAATTCATTCTTTGCGTGGTTATACTTTGAAATTACTTTGGCCCTAGATGAGCAACTATTGGTGTCAGACTGCTTTCAATTTCACTAATGAAGAGCTGGGTATGAGGAATGTTCACTTCTTATTCTTTTTGTTTATTACTGAGGTCACATTGGTTTATGACATCATGTAAATTTCAGGTGTACATCATTATATTTCAGCTTCTGGATAGACTATACTGTATTCCCCACCAAAAGTCTAGTTTCCATCTGTCACCATACATATGTGCCCTCTTACTCCTTTTGCCCTCCCCGCACACCCTTCCGCTCTGGTAACCACCATCTGTTCTCTGTGTCTATGTGTTTGTTTGTTTATCTTCCACGTACTTGTCTTTCTCTGTTTGTCTTATTTCGCTTAGCATAATAGCCTCAAGGTCCATCCACGTTGTCACAAAAGGCACAATTTCATCTTTTTTACGGCTGAGTAGTATCCCATTGTATGTATATACCACATCTTCTTTATCATTTCATCCATTGATGAGCATTTAGGTTGCTTACCAGTCTTGGCTATTGTGAATAATGCTGCAATGAATATAGGGGTGCATATATCTTTTTGAATTAGTGTTTTAATATTCTCTGAATAAATACTTAGAAGTGGAAAAGCTGCATAATATGGTATTTCTATTTTTAATTTCTTGAGAAATCTCCTTACTGTTTTCCATAGGGGCTGCACCAGTTTGCATTCCCACTAGCAGTGTATGAGTGTTCCCTTTTCTCAATATCCTCTTCAACTCTTGTTATTTCTTGTTATTTCAATAATAGCTATTCCGACATGTGTGAAGTGATATCTCATTGTAGTTTTGATTTGCATTTCCCTAATAATTAGTGATGTTAAACATCTTTTCAAGTGCCTGTTGGCCATTTGTATACCTTTGGAAAAATGTCTTCTCATATCCTCTGCTCATTTTTTTTCCTTTTTTTTTGCTGAGGAAGCTTGGCCCTGAGCTAACATTCGTGCCCATCTTCCTCTACTTTATATAGGACGCTGCCACAGCACGGTGTCAAGCAGTGCATTGGTCTGTGCCCAGGATCCAAACCTGCAAACCCTGCAAACAGACCACGTGAACTTAACCGCTATGCCACCAGGCCAGCCCCTCCTCTGCCTACTTTTTGATCAGGTTGTTGGATTTTTGTTATTGAGTTGTATAGGACTACGTGAAACTAAAATGCTTCTGCATGGCGAAGGAAACTATCAACAAAGAGAAAAGATAATCCACCAACTGGAAGAAAATATTGCAAACCATATATCCAGGTTTAATTTCCAAAATATATAAAGAACTCATACAACTCAACACTTCTTGTTCTTATGCTCTATCTGTTTGAATGCTTTCTGTATCAACCAGAGACTGAGGAACAAATAGCCATAGATTGTGCTGAATCCAGAGTGGATCAAACAGTCAGAGACACTCAGCAGCCAGGCCTCTTGCTGCTGCTCAGAGTTTGTGCTCAGCCTCCACTGCAGCTCCTGTCACTGTGTCACTCAGGGCACAGTAGTACACAGCAGAGTCTGACTCTTGGATTGAGGCTTTCTCCAAGTGGAAGGAGGTGGTTTCTGTATCATATGTGGCTTCAAAACCTTTGTTGCTTCCCTTCTCGTTGGCCTTGGTTGCTCTCAGGAGGAGCTGTGGACCTTCGTCAGGATATTGGACATACCAGAAAAGAATGGGGTACCCTGTGGGTGAATAAGTACAGTTTATAGTCAGGGAAGCCCCTTCTGAGAGTGTCACTTGGCTTTCCATCTGGGTCACTGAGTCTCCGTAGGTTTGTCCTGGGGAAAAACAAGAGATTTGAGTCACCTTGGGCATAAAGCTCTGGGATAAAATGATGGTTACAGATTTTACTGACATAACACTAGAAAGAATCCAAATTTCATGAGGCATTTACTTACCAAGCATTAAGAGTACCACAGTCACTAAGCCTGGAGCAGCGTTCATCTCTAGAGTGTCTCCTAAATAATATTCTTGATTCTTAACATGAAGAAATGTTGAAGTCACAGTGAAATGATAAATGGAAGCCTACATTTCACTCAGGAAGTTGTTTGTGTTAGGAAGCTGCACCCCCTGGTGGACAGGGACTGAAATGCATGTTTCCTAGACTCCTCCCCAAGTCAGAAATATGTTCTCATCTCTGACTTTATTTATGAGGCACATGTTAATCATCAAGCGGCCCTTGTAAATCTGAACAACAGCTACTGTAACCTCTCAGGTCTATTTTGTTCTTAGGACCCCATCTTACATGGAAGTTCTTTAACAGAGCATCCCAGGGTATTTCTGTAGATGAGAAGATATCAGTTTTCTTGAACATTTTAATACAGTACTTTATATTCTCATGTATTCATTGTGGGCCAGCCTATAATCTGTTAGAATGTAAGAAGAGGGTTTAGGGCTGAATACAGCAGAAGTAATAAGAATTCAAGTCATTATTGAGTGTTTCTGTGTTTTTCAGTACTGTACCCCTATATAAAGAACACTGACTGACACTTATGTGCTCACTAATTGTTTGTTGAATTAAACAAAAATAATGAATAAACAGTCTTTGATTGAGGATTCACTACTATTTGAAATACAATATTTCCTTGGTCCTAAAATACCATTAATTGTAAGGAATGCTTTTGTGTGTGTGTGTGTGCATGTGTGTGTGTTTGTGTGTGTGTGTGAGGAAGATCAGCCCTAAGCTAACATCCATTGCCGATCTTCCTCTTTTTGCTGAGTAAGATTAGTCCTGAGCTAACATCTGTGCCCATCATTCTCTATTTTGTATATGCGATGTCACCACAGCATGGCTTGAGGAGCAGTGTGTAGGTCCGTGCCGGGGATGCAAACCCAGAAACCCTGGGCCGCCAAAGTGGAGAGTGTGAACATAACCACTACACAACTGGGCTGGCCCCAGGAATGCTATAGTTTTAATAAAAGCTTTTTAGGAGAAAAAGCCACACTATCTTAGCATTAGTCAAATATTCCTGAATTTCACAATCATTAAAAAGTGAAAAATATGAATTCTATACAGAAGAAACATCATAATTGAAGTTACTGAATCCCTACAGAATGAACTGAGATTAGTATCTTATTCTCCCACTGTTTCATTGACTCCAAGATATGATAGCTAACCTATGTGAATCAGACAATGAATACTAATCCCACACTCTTAATGGAGATTGAGCCTCAAGGATGCTTCCACTGTGGTCCATCTGCCAACATTTTGGGGCCAAACTCTGATCAAATAATTTTCCCCCACAGGGTAAGGAATCCAGAAGATGTGTATTAGCAACAAAAACCTGGAGCAAAGTTAGGACCCTCTTCTTTCCCAGCCTTTCAAATTGTTAAAGACATATCAGCTGATATTCATACAACAGCTCATAATAGAATCAATGTTAGTGATTTAAACTATAGCTTCTGGGATCCCACCACTAACCTCATGAATCATATTTTCCAGGATTGAAACCCACTAAGTTATAATTTTTTAAAAGCTCCCCAGGTGGGGCCGGCCCCGTGGCTTAGTGGTTAAGTACGCACGCTCCGCTGCTGGCCGCCCGGGTTCGGATCTTGTGCGCGCACTAACGCACCGCTTCTCCGGCCACGCTGAGGCCGCGTCCCACATACAGCAACTAGAAGGATATGCAGCTATGACATACAACTATCTACTGGTGCTTTTGGGGGGAAAAATAAATAAATAAAATAAAATTATAAAAAAAAAAAAAGCTCCCCAGGTGGTTTTGTTCCAGCCAGACCAATACCGTTTGCAAGATTTCATATGTGATAGTTGTTCTAGACCAAGATGGTTGTCAAAGATCAGGGAGAAAGCTCTGGGATTAACAGGGGAAAACGTCCCCTGGCTACACAAATTTTAAAAAACTAGTCTTTCTCTATGACATACCAGCAGCAAAAGCAAGCTCTTAATTAGCTCCCTTTTTATTACTATTCATTTTATAAAACCAAGCAGAGAACCTCTGAGCATTATCAGGGTATAGTTCTGGAGAAGGACACATTTTCTGTAAGGCCTTGTAAACATTTATCCCTAGACATGTAGATGGAAACTCAGCTTAGTCTATTTCTTGGAGTTCACTCTCCACAGATTCAGATCAAGAGGCTTCATGTGTCCAGAGCCATCATGTGAATAGTCTCCCAGATGGGGACATAAGGAACAAATTCAGGCCCAGATACTGTTTGAATTCACATATGCCTTCCCTTCTCCTCCATTTTCTAAATCACATTGCCAGAACCTGACACAAAACTATGCTAGAAAGAATTCTGGAAAAGCTGGTACAAACTTCTATTCTGATACGCAAGGAGAATGAAAAATAAGTTGGGTTGATGCTGAGTTGAAATAAATGGTACAGCGCGTGGGTGCAGAAAGTTGCTATGTATCCTTTAAAAAAAGGAACATAGTTTAAGGCCAATTAGAACCTAGAGGATAAATAGTTCGCATTTTGGGTCACACAAGAAGACTCGTACACCATTGAGGGAACATATTTGTTAAATCTGGATTTCTAATGGCTTTATTAATGTATAATTTGCATAAAAATGAACTGCACCCATTTAAAGTGAACAATTTTATTAGATTTGATCTTTGTATATACTTGTGAAGCCATCACCACAATCAAGATAATGAACATATGCGTCACCCCAAAAGTTTCCTCACGTGTCTTGGTAATCCTTCTCCCAACACTCTCCTTACCATCCACTCCCATTTCCAGGCAACACTTGTGTCATAAATTAGTTTGCATGTTTTATACCTTTGTATACATGGAATCATATGTAATTTTTTGTCTGGCTTCTTTCACTCAGTACAATTATCTTGAGATTCTTACACGGTCTTGTATCAATAGTGCGTTCCTTTTTGTTGCTGAGTAGTATTTCATTGTATAGATATAAACAACGTGTTTATCTATTCATCTGTTGATGGACATTTCAGTTAGTCCCAGTTTGGTGTTGTTACAAATAAAACAGCAATGAACATCTGTGTATAAGATTTTTTATAAACGTATGCTTTCATTTCTCTTGGGTCAATACCTGGGAGTGGAATGGCTGGATCATATGGTAGGTTTATATTTGACTTTGTTAAACTTACTTATTTGTTCTGGCAGTTTTTCTTTTTTGCTTTTGTAAATTCACTTGGATTTTATACGCAGACTACCATGCTGTCTGTGAAGAAAGATAGGTTCACTTCTTCCTTTCCAAACTGTGTGTCTTTTTGTTTCTTTCTCTTGTCCTATTGCACTGACTAGAACCCTTAGTACAATATTACATAGAAGTGATGAGAGTCAAAATTCTTCCCTTAGAGATGATCTTAGGGGGAAAGTAGTCAGTCTTTCACCATAAAGTAGGACATTTGATGTCGGTTTTTCATTAAGGCCCATTATTAAATTGAATAAATTCTCTTCAATTCCTAATTCATTGGGAGCTTTAATCAGCAATGAATGCTGGATTTGCCAAATGATTTTTCTGTACCTACTGAGCTTACCCTCATTCACTTATCATCTGCTACTTGTCAATCTCTTTGGATACATTATTGATAAATTGTCACAATAAAATATTCAAGAGGATATTACTCTCTTGTTTTACAAATAATGAAACAAAGCTCACAAGTGTCTAGAAAGTTTGTGGCAGAGCTAACAGTTTTGAACACAGATCTCTCTGACAGCGAAAACCTATTCCCTGGTTTTTACTATAGATTATTTTCAGAGAAAATTTGAGAGAGATACTAGAGGGTAGCAACATACTTCTTCTCAAGTCTTTGAAATATTTTAAGATAGCATGTTAACAGGCTCTTTATTTATGAAAATAGAACTAAAAAAAATAATTAAATAATTGCAGGTTTGGCTCTTTCACCAAAAGAGGAAAGAAAACATTATAAAGGATAGACAAACTACAGTTCAGGAGCTCAACACCAGGTAGTGGCATGAGCATTCCTTTCAGACTAATTAATAGGTACCTGACTTGAGCAATGCACTGTAGCAAGAGTGACAAACTCTTCTAGGCTTGGGTAAAACACCAGGGTACTAGAACTTCAGTCATGGCCAGAGATCACTCTCTGTCTCTGTTTCTTACAACTTGCTTGTGATAAAGCAGTCTAGAGCATAGTTGCTCAAATTAGCCATATAAATTCTTCTTAAAAATTTTAAAATAGAATTTCCATGTGATCCAACAATTCCATTTCTGAGAATGTACTCAAAAATTGGAAATATTTGGGTGTATATGCAAAGTACTGAGTTATTATATACCCATGTCTCCATCAAAAAGTGGGAGTAATCCAAATGTCCATCAACAGATGAATGGATAAAAAAAATGTGGTATATACACACACTGGAATATTATTCAACCTTAAAAAGATAAGAAATTTTAGAACATGATGCTAAATGAAATTAGTCACAAAATGACCAATATTGCATGATTCCACTTATACGAGGTATCCAAAGTAGACAAACTCATAGTAAGAGAAAGTATAACGGTAGTTGCTGGGGGCTGGAGGGACAGAAGAATGGGGAATTATTGTTTAATAAGTACTAATTTTCAGTTTTTCAAAATGAAAAGTGTTCTAGAGGTGGATGGTGGTGCTGGTTGAACAGTATAAATGTACTTAATATCACTGGATTGTACACTTACAAATTTTTTAAATGGTGAAATTTAAAAAAAGAATTTAAAGGCACTCCTTTTAAGATGTCTACCCATACATTGGCTTTCCAAATGCAAATATAAGGTGGAGTTACAATACAAGATCACTTATCAACTATCCATTACCATTCAAACTTTAAGGCACTGAGAAAATGGGTTAGAAGTAGAAGAAATAAATTGGGAGAATGAGTATTTTGGATTGTGGAACATTGATTGAACAAAGAGGGCCTGGAGGTGTGCAAAATGAGCCACATGATGGCAAACCAGCTTTTGGAGGAGTGGTGAAGGAAGGGAGAGCAGATAAAGAACATAATTCATTCTCTCCTTCTTCATAGTGTCTTTCTAAGAGCACTAATTGTTGATCATTTTGTGGATAGGACTGGTGGGAGGCAGGTAAGTCTACATGATGGAAATTGAACTCT